TGTGTGTGTGTGTGTGTGTGTGTGTGTGTGTGTGTGTGTCAATGTGTCTGAATGTCAGTCTGTCTGTGTGTCTTGTGTGTCTGTTTGTCTGTCAGTCAGTCAGTCAGTCTGTCTGTGTGTACGTCTGTCTGTCTGTCCGTCTGTGTATGTCAGTCTCTCTGTATGTATTAAATGTGTACGTGTGTGTGTCTATTTGTGTGTGTGTGTGTGTGTGTGTTTGTGTGTGTGTGTCTATTTGTGTGTGTGTGTGTTTGTGTGTGTTTGTGTGTGTGTGTGTGTGTGTGTGTGTGTGTGTGTGTATTAGCATGTTCTTATGCACAGTAGAATTGTAAATGGACTGATTTATATTAGCAATGTCATGCACATACTGTGCCGGAACAACATAGGGGGGACTGCTGCTTTTTCTTTCCTCATCCTTACGATTGTCATTTTTCCTCTACTTCTTTCGTATGTTCGTCACTCTCTTGTGAACTGCTATTTCCGGGGTGCCTTGATAGTCGAAGCAGACTTGTGCTGTTGAGGCTAGAGACGTGAGCAGAGTAAGCCTGATTCCGCGTTTGGACTCTCTGTTGGTATCCACCCCTTGGCGCTCGTATGACTTTATTATGCAGTTGCGAGCGCTGTAAAACCTTACTAAACTAAACAATTTATCTCGCACCCATTGCGAGATATGAATGAAATACACGTCTTAGATCTAGTTAATGTAGAACTATATAATAATATGCATTTACATAATACATATTTATTATGGAACTGATGCTGACAGACGAATGAAACACAAAGAGGAAGAACTGAAATGGGTCACGAAGTGCAGCTGTATGTAAATAGTCAGCTTGCGTAAACCTGGTGTTGTAATGTAAGGATTATGAGTCGTTTGCCCGGGGACACGACTGATGATACATTCAAATCAATGTCAGTATCATGTCGCTACGAATTGATTATCCTGAATCATGGTAGTAGTTTGTTTAGTAATTTTAGTTTAGTAAAAAGTTTTACGGCACTTGCAACGCAATAAGGTCATATAAGTGCCGAAGATTAGAGGTATTACAAGAGAGTAACAACAAACGTAAAAAAGAAGGAGGAGAGATAAGGACGATAGATGTTTAAGAGGAAAGAAGGAGCAAACCACACCAGAGCACGTAGTACGTTGTTTGTCGGTACCATCTTTTTGAAAAAAGAAAAAGAATCGGCGAAAGGCAAGTGCCAACATTTCGTATGTTCTGCTTCCTTTTCATCTCTGCAGGTTCTGCCTGTCTGCCCTGCTTTTCACAGCACTAAGTAGCTGTTACTGCATCAGTGTTCATTTCATTTTATTTAAATCGGTGGCCCTTCGTCTTGACTACATGATATTTTCACATCGAAGTTTAGACGACTTTTTGACACAAAGTAGATTTGATTGAAGAACTCGGAGCCCCCCCGTAAGTACACCTGACCAAAGAGATTGACATTCCACTAATCCAGTCATTGCATTATTTTAACGCCCCTTTCACAACGAGTCATTTCAGAGGCGGGTTCTCCAAAATTAATGTCCATCTCAGATAGGACCAAGCAAAGTGGGTGGAGAGCTAAAAAAAAACCCCCAAAACAACACCCTTCCCCCCAAAAGCGACTGAAATTCAGAACATGTCGTCCCTGAAACATTCCAGAAACCACTTTTTCGAACCACTTTAGAGTGTGGGATGAAAAAACCCCCAACCCAAACCCTCCCCACCCTTTCCCGGACCCCCCTCCCCTCAACACTCCCGAACCCCCCCTCCCCTCAACCCTCCCGAACCCCCACACAAATAGACCCAAATGCTTCATGATACGTTTCACGTTGGTTGCACCAATACGACTGTTACCGTGGCTGCAAGTTGCTGTAGGATGCTGGTGCGTATTTTTAAAGAAGTAAAACTAAATGTACCAGTCTCAGGGTAATATTTCCGATTCGAACGTTCTCGAGCCACTGCAGTTATGAGTCAGAACGATTTCTCATGGTGCCTTGGTAAAAGCCCAACATTTTTCTCCTCTTTTGGAGGGAAAATAAGAGGCGGGATGGGGTGTTGAGGAGGGAGTTTGTGGAGATACGAGCCACACCCCTCAAACGTTGCCGACACAGACACGATATTGTCGACACTAGCAATAGATCATGAAGAGGTTTGCTGCAGAGTGTTTTGTCGTTCGCCGTTTGTTTTTTTGGGGTTTTTTTTTTAAGGGAAGCATCTTCTCATCAAATAATCTAATTTGTTGTTTCTATTGCACTCTCGAGTGACCAAGATTTATGAGGTTGCTGCAAGGACACTGGCTTATTACTTGTTCTTTATATGCCTAGGTAGTGATTTTTCCCCAACGCGTTAACACACCGCTGTGAATGTTGACTGTATGCAAACAGTACCAGTGAGTTTTCGCAACCGCTCTTTGGTGTCTGTTGAACGGGCCTTTGATTGTTTTCTGACAATGCTTCCAATTTTGTTGCCTTCGAGGGAGAGACAGAGGCAGTGAGGGAGACACGAAGAGAAAGAGAGAGAGAGAGAGAGAGAGAGAGAGAGAGAGATGAGTCTTTTATTTTCTGGAATCTATGAGTCCACCCACAGGCCCACCCAAAAAAGTTAAA